TCTCTACTATCCTTCTACACCATTTCTCCATTCATACCTCCACCTCTCACTATCTCTCTCTCCCATCTCCTTTCCTCGCCTCTTAAGGATAATAATGCTTCAGTCTCTCTTCTTCTCCTTCTCTTCTCCCTATCTATCTTCTCCATGCATTCCTGTTCTTATCTTTTTCTCTCTTCTTCTTTTTAATGTACAATCAGAAACAGGAATAAGTATACTGTACACACTGTAGCTGTAAGGTTCGAAAATGGTCTGGTAACTTGAAAACAACATTAATATTTAGAAGCTTGAGGGACCGAACTAACGGGACAAATTCATTACGATAGGGCAGAGTCAAAATATTCTTAAATGTAGGAACTTGTCTGGTTTGAGAGGAATGAAAGGATTTTTTAGCCCGATTAAAACAACGATCAACAAACACAGAAGGGTACCCAAGTTTCTGTGCAATGGAACAAATGTGTTTCAATTCATCGTCAATAAATTCCGAGTCACAAATACGCAGACATCTTAAGAACATAGTAGAAAAAACTGACATTTTGGTAGACTCAAGGTGATTCGATTTGTCCCGTTAGTTCGGTCCCTCAAGCTTCTAAATATTAATGTTGTTTTCAAGTATGACTCAACCATTACCAATATGTTAATAAGGAATAGCCCAAGTTTGAATGTAAAAGGAAGTGTTTATTGTATTCCATGTAGCAAATGTAATTGTAATTATGTAGGACAGACAGGAAAAACACTGCAGCTCAGAATCAAACAACATAAGTATAATATCAGAACAGCATCTGAAAGCAGTGCCTTGTTCGTTCATGTTAGGAATAATAATCACCCCATTGCTTGGGAAAAAAGCTTAGAAGTATTTAAATCATCTTGTGTCACAGAAAGACTTCTGGTTGAAGCTAGTTTGATTAAGGTATTAAAATCAATAAACCTTAGTGATGGTCAGTTCAAAACTGATAATATGTTACATAAATTTATTTGTCAGTGGCCCAAGGTTAAAAATGCTTTGAAAACCTTTGATCGAGATATATGATAGTTATTTTGTGGGTCCCTTATTTTTGACCTGACCTGACTAGTCACGTCAACCCCCTTCTCTTAAGCTCCTCTACGTGTGTGTTGGTGTAGGGATTAGTGGATGACATCATTATGACCTGACCTCATGTTTTTAAGGTCACCCTGTATATTTAAGCCTCTCTCTGTCCATGTAATCCAGTTGCCTCTGAAGATGTCCTGAATAAAGACGAAAGCTAAGGTGCTCTGTTGTTTCCATTTTCCCGTGTGATTTTATCAAGACTATATATATATATATTTATATATATATATATATATATATATATATATATATATATATATATATATATATATATATATATATATATATATATATATATATATATATATATATATATATATATATATATATATATATATATATATATATATATATATATATATATATATATATATATATATATATATATATGCAAGTAAATCACTGTAGGTGCGCGTGATCTAGGTATATGCTGATAACCACAAGGAAAGAAGAAAACACATTTAAAAACTCATGCACTGTTAAACAAATGTTAATCAAGAACTCCCCCAACAACACAATTGGTTGCATTTATAAAGTTCCTTGCAAGGAATGTAATATGTTTTACTTAGGCCAGACAGGTAAAGATCTTGCAACTAGAATTAAACAACACAAATACAGTGTTAGGACAGGCCAGGAATCCAATGCTCTGTTTGTTCATTTGAGGGATAACAAGCATTGCATTGACTGGGATAATGCCTCCTCAATATTACCATGTAAGTCAATTGACAGTAGGAACATCATAGAATCTAGTCTTATTAAACATACCGAAGCATTCAACATGAATTTGAGTAACGGCATGTACAAGCTGGACAATTTTGTAATTAAGAAGATTTGTGATCAGGTGAGAAGGCCGGGTCACTTGACCATCTGACCTGACCACCAACCGTTGTGTGCTATTTAAAGATTAGTAGGGTCATTACCTAATACCTGACCATTGTGGACCTGGTCTCACCCTCCTCTGTATATATACACCTTGATTTGTATTACTCTCTCTAGTCTGTACTCACCCCTGAAGATGTGAATTACACGAAAGCGCTTGGGAACTTCGTGTTTTCTTCTTTCCTTGTGGTTATCAGCATATATAGATACATACAGCATATATATATCTATATATATATATATATATATATATATATATATATATATATATATATATATATATATATATATATATATATATATATATATATATATATATATATATAAAATCAACACCTCACCCCACCAGGATTCAAAACCACGATCTTAAAATTGTGACCGGGGAATGCTACCTCTGGGCCACCAGAACACTGAAAACAGTCCTAGACTGTTATATTTCACACAAAGCTGTTCAACGTTGCTCTGACCACCTAAGCCGCACGGGTGGTCCCCATTAGAGGTTCACGGCGCCATAAGCTCATTAAACAGGCTTTGTGTGAAATATAACAGAGTCTAAGACTGCTTTTTAATGTCTTGGTGGCCCAGAGGTAGGATTACCCGGTCACAATTATAAGATCATGGGTACGAATCCTGGTGGGGTGAGGTGTTGATTATATGTAGAAGTCAATATGCTTTATTGGGCTAATTAAATATATATATATATATATATATATGTAATATTCAGACATTTCAGTGAAATTTCAAACGCCGCGCCATTGGCGATGCTGAGTTCAAGGTCGTCTGAGGGAAGACCGCTCTCCTCGCACGTAGCGAGAGATTGTGGAACTAGGCCTATGCGATATAAAATGTAATTTACCGAGTTAATAGGGACGCGAATCTTGAAATTAAATATCAGTTATTAAATTGAAAATAATTATAGATCGTTTCCCAGTCTGAAAATGTTGCATACGTCCTAATTAAGCTGTTAATCGTCTGGTAAATAAGTCACTCCTGGAAAGCGTGAACCAGTGAGCAGGCGTGGCTGGGGAGCTGTGAGAAAGGTCAAGGACCACCTCTGTGCTGTACCCAGGAGAGACGGATCGCGTGACCTGGTTCCTTCGTTTATTTAACATCAGTATTAACAAGTAAGTTTTATTCAATCTCAGACAAAGCTTGATAGGGCGGTAGGAACAAACGGTGATGTGAGACAATAGCTAACAGCCCGGGTTTTTCATGGTTCTGTAGACCCTACGCGGTACGATAACGTCCACTGGCGGTATGAGACACGAGTGGTGAAGCGAGCTGTATGACCGTCCACTGACCTGAGTTTGAGCCACCTGTTGAGTATGGTGAGAGTTGGAGTGAACCCAACTGTCTAGGTGCCCAACTAACGACGTGACGATCGTTTGGGGTCATCAACTCTCCTCTACCTCGGCTCACAATACCACATATCTTCAAGCAGCTCAGTGAAAACCTTTTACGAACGGGAAGCTAAAGCTTCTCTCAAATGAGTGGCTCACTCCCTTCCGTTTCATGGATGTACTGGGGGCAAAGTGAAGCCAGCTGAGTGATACAGGGTCACACACTGGGACCAAGAGTCCAGTGGAACTTAGAGGTACATTTCCAAGGTTGAGAAAGGCTGGTTTGGGCCTTAAACTACGGGTGCCTGTTGGTTGTGCCTTAAAAAACTATGGAGTGCAGGTGGAATCTATGTGTTTGGTTAGGAAGCATGGTTCACGGGTATTGGCGGACTCAGTAACTTCTTAATAATAGTGATAATATTTTTGTGTGTACTTATACTATTTTTTCAGTTACTAATGTATGCTGTGTGCATTTAATATTTCCTTATAATTTCAATCTCTGGTATAACCCTTGTTCCCCAGAGTAGTGTTTAAGTTAGGTTAGGAGGTGTGTATCTGTTGGGGTTATATAATTTTGCTGAGTGCCCTGAAGGCCTACTCAGGGTGGAGTTAATAAGTTCTATTTTTTATACCATTTTCTCAGTACTGGATATCATTTTGTTGAGTGCCCTTAAGGCCTATTCATTGTAAAGTTATTGATTTCCTATTTTTTATAAAATCTTCTCAGTGATTGATATTATTTTGTTGAAAGCCCTTAAGGCCTGTTTCATGTGTGCAAGCAACATTTCTTAATACTTTAAATTTATTGTTGTCTAATGAGACATTGTCTGAATTTCTAATATTTTCAATATCATGTATAACCTTTATTCCCCAGAGTAGTGTTTTAAGTTCAGGTTGAGAGGTGGGCATATTGGTGTACCATTATTTGATTGTGTCTGTAATGTTGGAGGGAATATAAGTGTCTAAATTTTACACTGTGTCTCATTCATCCCAGTCACAGATGCTATCCTTCCACGGGTCATGAATAATTCATTTTGTTTAGTAAATTTAAGTATTCTTGTGCTGGTTCGGGATTTCTCTCAAAGGGGCGCTTCCACTGCAATTACCATCTAATAATCTTTAATAAACCCCAAGTCTAGTGAGAAATTAAACTCCAGTAATTCCGACCGGTTACATATATATATATATATATATATATATATATATATATATATATATATATATATATATATATATATATATATATATATATACTTCATTTTTAGTCCATATAACATGGATTCTTGAATGATCACGACCTCGAGCCTGAGCGAACCCTCGGCCAGGCCGGCTTGTGCCCGGTAAGCGTTCCCTAGTCACACCCAGTAGGTCGAGGGTTCGATTCCTTGCTGGTGAGGTCGTTGATTATATATATATATATATATATATATATATATATATATATATATATATATATATATATATATATATATATATATATATAAGTAAATCACTGTAGGTGCGTTGTTGTAATTATCTTCAGGGGTGAGTACAGACTAGTCTGTACTCACCCCTGAAGATGTGAATTACACGAAAGCGCTTGGGAACTTCGTGTTTTCTTCTTTCCTTGTGGTTATCAGCATATATATATATATAGTATATTTATATTTATATTACTTCCATTGCTTTAACAATAAAAAAATTCTCTGGCACAGTGGGTGGCTTTTCTGGGTCTTGGTGCAGTGAGTGCTGCCGTCATGTCCTCTGCAGACTCCTCCGTACTCTCCTCTTCTTCCATGTTCGCCAACAACGTTTACAAGAACGTCATCAGACGATCGGTAAGTGATTTGAAATATTATTTATTTATATTTTCATGTTTTTTATGTAATTTTCATCCTTAATTCCACATTAGTCATGTTCTATTTGTCGCTAAATCGAATATTTATGAATACATTACGAAGTGTAGACAAATGGTACTCTATGTGTGGGGGTAGGAAGTTTTTTTTTATACTACTTTCCGCCACCGTTTTCCTTCTTTCAAAGAATTTCTATCTCTAAATTATCAATATTTTTGTTTCTGAAAAGTATACTTTCTTATATTCTGATCTGTGGGCTTATTAAACATTCTATCATATATTATTTCAAGGTACGCTGACACCACCCAGTTTTTTTAATCAGAATGTAATATATCATTAACCTCTTAATTAAACACTTGGATAGCAGGAATGAGCAGTCAAATGCACGTGGATTCTGGTGTACTTCATGTTCTGGAGAGAAAGGTAATACTGAAGTGATAACGATAACGCAATATACATTAAGAGTAATTATTAAAATTAAGTTTGGTGTATGAACACTTTCAAAGAATACAAAGTTACAAGAAGCACTCCTTTTGGTCTCCCAATACTTGGGAAACATTACATTAACACTGGCACAAAATATAAAGACCAATGGGGCTTACATACGTATTTTGTAATTAGAAAATTAAGTATTTCAAATTAACACTGGCAACTTTCATTACAAAATAATTCATCTCATAGGTAATACTCTACAACAGTGACACAAGAAAATCATGATGCTCTCCAGTGCTTTCAATTCATTAACACTTACACAAATACTTTATAGTACCCCTAAGTCTATGTTCGCCTTTGGTACCCCCAAAATGTTCTACACTACTGAGGGTATACACAAACACTTGTTATCTTAAAATATAGGTTCTTATTCTCGTACGGGAGATATACAGAGATGGACCAAGAAACTCTCTTCCACACCATAAGGACTGGTGGTCTTCACTATGTATCACTGCGCGCTGTCGTGTACAGATGCCAGCATTCACAAGCTGAATACATAAAGTATAAATATGATAATTCATATACATAACATGGTGCACAATAAATGGAAATATTACATAGGATTAATACATGTTCTGTAATACTTTACTATACATAATTAATAAGAGTAATATAAGGATACACAGCTTAAGGTACTATTTCGTGTCCATATTATACACTAAGCACTTTCAAAACCTTCACAAGACAGTGCTAGTCTCGTATGCTTACCACCGTAGCTGCAAATCACACTGACAGCATCTAAGCATCACGACTGTGGGAGTCTTGCTGATGCAACACTCTCATTACTTCTCAATATTGTGCCTTATAGCACCATTTACAACACAGGTCACATTAGTAATAATTTATTCTGTGGTAATAATATACCTGAAACGTAACCAATACTGATACCCGTTAACATAGACGCATACAGCAGGTTTTACCACAAGGACTCACACCCACTGGAGTCAAACACCGCCTTGAGGTTCACACTCACTGGAGCCAAGCGTCCGGGTTCGGCAGCTTACACACAGGTCCACTCTGACGTACCATCTTCTGATCTTAATCCTCCTTTACAAATTCTAATTGAATTCAGACATCCTGTCAACAGCCTGTTTAGCTGTGAGGCGGTAGCTATCAGCTCACACAGTCCCTGGATATACAGGGAAACGCTTGGTCAGAGTCAGCAAAAGAAAACAAATATGCATGGTCAGTTATTACACGACGCACTAACGTATGGATGTTTATAACATACGTCTTATGCAAAAAAGTGATTGGCTTATGATCATTTAAAATATAAGACGTTCACTTATGCTAATAAGATTAATTGCATATTCAGACAAAGCTCAACTAAGACAACTCAATATAGTAGTATGACGATGTGTGAAACGGTTAAACATACCAAGATATACGGAGAGACGCGGGGTCAGGGTGACTGTCTAGCATGCGTTCCCAAGTGTATATCAGATGGAGTTTTAATAGTTGGGATATCACAGACATTTTATTTGTCTTAGATATCCATTGTTCTATGACAATTATCATTGCTAATATCTTACATGCAATGCTTAAGTCTAACTTTTACAATCTAATCAATGTCTGAGCTCACACAGGCTGAGTTTTGTGCTTGCTCAGCACTTTTCAGATGAAAGTTCGAGTTATGATTTTTTTTCAATTTTTCTCAATTGCAATATTTCATACTACTCAAGGTATTCATGACTTTCTTTGATATTCACATACTGCATAAATGCAATTAAGTCCCATTTAACCGTTGGCATATATATCTTAATTGAATTGAAATGAAACAGTTTATTTAGCCAGAAAAATACAGATACAGAGTGGATAATAATACCAATATTAACATGGCTGAGCCAGTTGAGAACCTGAGCTCTCT